CAGTTCTACAGAGAACAACCTTTCTTTTCCTGAAACCACATATGAATAACTTATAAAGGTTTCAGTGACAAACCACAATAAAAAAGGAAACTGACCACCTTATCTGATGCAGAATGGGTTATGCCTGAAAAGGTTACGCACTTATTTTTGCTGACAGTGCTATGCTGTTTTGTGAGCCGGATAGGAGAGCTATGCTCAATCTCTGGTGTTTTTTTATGGGTTTTCAAGCGGTCTCAGGGCTCAGCATCAATCTTGCTAAATCAAAGATGATGAGAATGGAAGCTGAGCGAGATTTGGATAGTTTGGCAGGGGCATTGGGCTGTAGGGTTAGCAATACTATTAAACTGTCAAAAATATTCTTGTCTCTGATTTAGTACAATATTTTAAACCTTTTTCACTTATTGATTATTCAGTTATTCAGTAATATTTTTGAGAGTTTCTTATTTTTTTGGTTGCATGATGCAATCAAAGTCTTAAATGTGATGCTTAAAACTTCTTAGATATGATGTCTAAGAAACCCTAGGTATGAAATATAGATTTTTATCCTCAAATACCTAATTCGACAAATCAACCGTATTTATCCTACCTCATTATCTCGACAATAACTATAGTAATACAAGAAAATTTAACAACAATCTCAAAAGTAAAGAAAACCTCTCCAAATGCTCCCCTTCCTATGATTGTCAGAAGTTCAAAGTCCTCAACGCCCATCTTATGTCTTTGACGACGCATATATTCTGTCTCCTTTTTCTCCAAATACTTGAGTACATTCATTTGCTCTTCTGGAGAAACATCAGCATCTGCAAGCTCCCTCTCTAAGATACACCGACTGTTTTCAGGTATTAACAGATGTTTGAGAACTTGTTTGTTATCAATTTACTCATTGGTTTGAATGAAGAGAACAATTTAGGAAAAGATAAATACAAGTAAAACAAAATTGATAAATAAAGTCAATTAGAATTCCAGTAAAAAATATAAATTTCAAAAAATTAAGATGAGACTAGAAAAGGTGAAAGATTACTAAAATATAGAAGCAGCATATATGTCACTGGATGACTATATTTAAAAACATAAGTCCATACAAACACAATCCTACTACATTCAAAAGACAGCATGCTAACCGCTATCTTACTTTTAATATTTAGAAAAGCACAAGATACGCTAGGTTATTCTAACAAAGTATGATCTATTTGCTTGCCAACCCTCTCTATGATACACAGAGTGGTTAAAGTCCTGCTTAACGTCAACCTTAAATCACCTAGAAAACTAGTTAACCAGAGCCCCGAGCAGATTCTGTTAAATTTTGGCATTTTTATTACATTAAAACCCATAAGAACCAAAATCACAAGCCTTAAAGGAATTGTAACAGATATTTTCTCTGACCAAGCAGTTTCAATAATCAAAACTTAAAATTCAGTCAACTACTCATTCTTCCATTTTCCTATTTCTTCATGCTTTTTTCTCATTTTCTCCAATCTATAAACCATGGCATAAACGCCATATTTTTCCATTTCTAAATTAATAGTTCTATAACATTTTGTAACAAATAAATTGTATTTGCCGCATACATGAATCCAAAAACCAGTAAAATCTGATATCAGTCTTCAGGATGTTGAGAAGTTAAGAAACCAAATTGTTAATTCTTGTGATACACTTGAAAAAGATAGATATTTTGAATATACAGTTGTTTGAATTAAAATTTTCAAAAGAATTCCAAATCAAGCATAGGAAATATTAGTACAATGCTTCAACAAATAGTCATTGTCTTATCACCAAAAATGACAAAAATAAAGAGAAAAGTTGCAGCATCAGAGAAAATAAGATTTAGTAACTTGCCGTTCCTTTCTGTCCTGCAAACTCTTCATTTGAGCTTTGTAATGATTCTCAATGTATTCCTTTGCTGCAGCAACCCTCTGTTTGGTGATACTTGAAGGGGCCTCATCTACTGGAGGCTTCCCAGTGGATTTTACGCTTCCTGTTTCTTTCTTGCTTGCAGGATTACCTTTCACCTTATCAGTTCTTTGTTGAAAAATTTTAAACCAGCTCCTTGTAGATTCCATGACTGACCAATTGCCCAGGCAAATCAGAGTACCTAAATCATCTCACCTGTACAAAATGCAGACTTGAATTAACCTCAGTATCTACCATCAGTTGCTAATAGATGAAATAGAATTAAGTAATGGAAAACTGTTCACCCAATAAAGCAGGTGAAAAAGAACAAGCCGTTCTATGTTGTCCAAAAGAATAAAACCCAAGTAACCATATCCGTAAAACCCAATGGAATTTAGCTTTTAAAAATCTCTAAGGTAAAATATATACAATAACTACTCTGATAACAGAAAATAATCCAAGATTGTAGAACCCAAAATAACTACATAATGAATCATCCAAATTGAAAAGTGAAATCGGGGAAGTGGAGCGTTTGTCCAAGGGGAGAAAAAACCAAAAAGAAAAAATTCATGGAATTGCTTTGAGCTTTTGATTAATACAGCCAAACGGCCAAGTGGCCAGGAAATTAAATTACTGAAAATGAAGGAACATTCATATTATATGCAGTTTCATTGCAGCCTGCCTATATCATTATATTGTAAAACAATGCATTGATTACGAATTGAAATCTGTCTATTTACAAATTATAGTCCAACCACAACTGATTTTCCATCAAATATCATAAAAAACCGTGCAAATAGCAACAGATATACATACTCTTTTGAAATTTAAGTTTCTCCCGTCGTCTAGGCAACCAATCAGAAAGTTCAATTCAGATATAGTTCACCTTCAACACCAGAACAAGATAAAGAACACAAGTACTCCATAATTCGGTCAAAATCAACAGAAAACCAAGCGTTAATTCACCTCAAGCATATTTTATTCTCAAATTTTCGCTTCAAAAAAGAAAAAAAGTAGACTAAAAAATCGAATTCCCAACAAACACAACGGCCGATCATACAATGAAACACTTAATTTATCTCAACATTACACAGACTAAAAAATTACTTACAAAATTAACCGAATAACGTAAATAACAAGCGAACCTCGCTCGATATACATATATCCAAGAAAGTTGAAAGAAGAAGATGAAGAAAAAAAAAGTCTTACAGTAGATTTCTCGTCTTCTCTTCAGCCTGTCAACTAAACCAGTCTCTGTCTTCTTCACTTAATATCTGCAGACAAACAAAGAAAAAAAAAATTCGCGGCGACAACTGAAAAGAATTTATACGGTCAGGTTACTGCGTAAATAAGCAAATGGGGAAAGGCTATTATAGTAAAATAACTGGATTTGGTCACTAAACGTCGTGCAAGTTACGGGACAGTGACTGAGAAGTTACCGTCGAGTTAACAGCGGCCCCACTAGCCGGTAAGAATACCGGATGCGGATGGGAAAATTTGAGCTACTGAGACAGACACGTGGCGGTAAAATGGCGGTCACAGCCGGCGATTCGGCTGACGTGAAGGCACGATTAAATGATTTGCCACGTCGGATTGGCATAAAAGGCGCGCAAATTGGGGATAACGCGTTTTTGAGAAAGAGGTGATCCTGGCCGTACACGTGGCGGAATATGTTCTAACCCGGGTTAGCTTTAGGGGTTTAGAAACCGTGTGGAAGACTTAACCCTGGTTAAGCATTTAAACCATTTAAAAAAATAATAATATTTTGATTTTATTAAAAATTAAACTAAAATCTACAATTCGTTTCATAAAATTTTAAAATAAAATAAAATCTGAAAATCAATTTTATATTTACTATAAAAATTATTTACTATGCGAGTTATTTAATTAAATATTTTTAGAATATATTTTATATATTATGAATATATAAATATAAATCGAATAATTTAATTTTCCACATGATTCTCTTCATAATTTGTCATAAATATATAATATGTTTTTCGCTTCTTTTTTTTAATAAATAAAAAACTATATCAAACTTTTAATCTGTATTTATTAAAAAATTTAATCATTATAAAATATTTATTTAACTCAAAAATTTAATAAATTTTATCGTACATAATTTAATATATTCCTTGCTCCCTTACAAATTCGATCGACGACTGCCGAGCTATATTGGCATTGTGGCCGGACGTTTCACTTAATAAGATACCCGACAATTGTCCATCGAATAACGGGAGAGGTCTGCTCTCGTTCTGAGTTCAATACACGAGAGTTTGTTCTCGTCAACTAATGTATCTCTCTCGTGTTAAGTAATACTATTTGGCTTTTACTCAAAAAAAAATACATAAAAATTTAATCGCACACCATAGATGATTGAAAAATCTCTATAATAAGAATGGGAAAGACATTGTTGTCATCGATGTTACCATCATTGTCGAGACTAAAACATGAAGAACTGAACAATGACTGCTGATAAATGCTCAGCTGCCTGTAAAAGTTTGCGAATGAAACTCGTTCTTCTTGCTCTTCGGGTACAGGCAGATCCGGTGGAAGGACAGCCAGGGCTCGAATACCATCCATCAGTTGGTTTAGTTCCTTTGAGATCAGAGGGATACATTCGCCTTCCAGAAAAGATTCATAACTCAAATGGAGCCATTCTTCATTGGAACAAACAAAACCCGATTAGTTATGAAGAGTATCCCGACCGTATAGCCAGCAAATATCTACGAGGCACATTAGGCTTCTATTCATTCAGTACGGATCTCAATGTTCCGCGATTGTGTCACTTTTGTTGTGACACCACTTGAAAGAAAAAGGCATTAGGTGGAGCAATGTGAGAACTCAACCAAGAGAAAACGACCACCGTTCTTTCTCTATTCAAAAATGTGCATCCAATCATACCGGGCAAAACTGTTTCCCTAGGATGATGATGATGATCAAAGGTTTGACATAAGATCCGCTTAGCACATCCATCCCGGATCCATTTCTGTCGAACAAAATTGTCAATTTGAATCTCTTGTTAGCTGAAACAATTGTCAACAATTGAATAAAAAGAAATATACTTGAATTAAACGCCACGTAAAAGTTTAAATTTTTAGAAATAACATAAACTCCAAAGGGGTTCTTTGTGTGTTCTTGTCTTCATCAAGATCAAGACTTCTCTTTAGATGGATTTCTCCTTAATGCAGCTCAGAACACTACCCAATTCATATAAATTACGTGCTGATAAAAGAAACTCGATCATGTCACAAGAAATGTCAAAAACCCAGTTTACCATATCGATACTGTCACATGCTAGCCACAGCATCTTGTGATTGATCCTCTTTTCCTTTCTTAATTTAGCAACATGTTTATGATACTCTGCAGCTCCTTCTCCACTTTTCATGAA